GGAAAGAGTATTTATGAGGCAAAAGGAATTGTGTCTGAAGGCTCAAACTTGCCTATTTCTTTGTGTGGTCATTACACTGGCCAGAGAGTGTTCATAGAAAATAAAGCTGGAAGGAACCTAGAGAGCTTCCTTCTACCTCAATACAGAATCAGTTGTCCCCATCCTATTCCTTCTACCTCAAGACAGAATCAGTTGTCCCCATCCTATTCCTGACCCATGCTTGTCTAGTGTGTTCACAAAAACTGCACTTTGAAAGCTTCTGCCTTCTGAAACTGCTTGTTTCTATGCTTACTGATGTTCTTGAGTGTTTCTTCCCAATATGTAACCTCAGCATCCCTTGCTGTAAATTATTTCTTGTCTTCTCCATAGTGGACATAGGGAAGAGCCTACTCCTTTCTTCTCTATGGTGGCTTTTCAAAAGATTTGAAGGCTGTTCCTATGCCCAGTTGTAACCTGCTCTCAGCTAAATCCCCTCTACACTCTCCCCTACCATCTTAGGTCATATTTTCTAGAGCTCTGTCTATGCAAATTGTTCTGCATTTGGTCCACATACTTACTGTTTGGTGATGCCTGGAAAAATGCACAGGACCCCAGCTGAGGCCTTGCAAATGCCTAGTAGAGTGAACAGACCGGAAGAACAGTATGGCATGGTTTTCACACCATGTTCCCACCTACACAGGTGGTTTGCCCTTTTCAAAGCAGCACTGCACTGTTGATTGATGGTGTCTTGGCCCTACGCCACAGTCAAACTCTCATCCTGGATGCACAACGCGGTCTTCCAGCCTACTGTTAACATCTTTCCCATTTCTTACTAAACAGCATCCCATCTTTTCAGTGTTTTTATAATATCAAAGGTAATTTTTAGTACTAATCTTGCCCATCAAGAGACTTACAGCTCCCACAGCTTTATATCATCTCTTATTTTGTGGTGGTGAAACGCTAATGAAGCTGCTTTGGTTCCCCTTCTTAAGACTTCTGGACCCCTAATGAGAGCAAGAGCCAGGAGGAGATGACAGCCCTGTCTGTACACCCTGCAGTGCCCCTGGTCCAGTGCTTTGTGTCTGCATGGCAATGCAGGTGGGATGAGACTGTCCAGAGAGCTGCCCTTCAACATGGTGTTTGTACCTAGATGAGGTCAGGACCTGTAATGCCTCAGCTGTAATGCAAAGGCAGGTCCTCTCCGGGAGACGGGTGCCTGCAGCTCCTCTCGGCTTTGGCTCCTCTATGAACCCAGCAGACACACCCTCTCTTCCAAGCTACTAATGGGCACTGTGAATAAATGCAGAAGAGACCCCTGACAAATTCTAGCAATTTCAACCCTCTTGATTCAAGATGGACCATTACTTAACCTCCTCTGACTACAATACACTTCTCCCCCCGTTTCTCTTTTCGGCACACACTGATTTCATTCATATCCTATTCCTTCTCCTGCATATGTAACCACCCTGTGAAATAGTCTTAGAGGTGCTTGGAAGGTGAAGCAATGTAATGTTGCAGCAGAGGGTTTGCCTTGATTTGTTTAGAATGGCCATCTGGGCTGTTAATTGCTCCCTTCTTTGATTATTTGTTTCTGAAGACCACCAGAAATGGGTTGGAAGTTGCGTTAGCCAAATTCCCTAAACACTGTACAGAGAATTTCATCAAGGTCAACCAGTTTGAGAATATCTTAGGACTTTCTACCTCCTTTACCAGGAATTTTGCCTGAGCCACCACCTCTTTGTCACACAAGAGGTTGTGTTTACAGTCTGCTCACAGCTGGCTTGAAGATTGCAGACAAGTAAATCTCAAAACATTGACTAGCTATTTCCTCTTCTACTTAAGGTTGGACTAAATATTTCCTAAATTTTCCTCCTAGCACACTAGCATAATGATTTCTTGTTACTCTTGTGCCTCATTCATTGCATCACACTTTGGGGGCTTGGGGATTTTGCATCTTGTGCTGTACTTTCATATTGCCCTAGAAACCACATCTCATCCTCTCTTTCCAGGCATTTTCTTTTTGTTGTTAGGGGCTCTTTTCTTCCTACAAGAAAAATCACTGTTTTATTTGCCATTTTCTGTATTTTCACTGGGCAACTAAAACCTGGGCAGTTCTGTTCACAAGTTTTCAAGTTTCCACCAGCAAATGAGACATTCTGTTGAGTTTTGTCTGTGTCCAAATACCCCAATTCATCATTCCTTCTAAAAACTCGTCCCCAGCTGTGAACACAGACACACAAGAACACTTTTGCCATCGGCCTGAGGCTACATCCAGGCAGCCAACAGGAGCAGGCTGCTCAGGACCAACTGGGAAATACTTCCAGCCCCAGGACTGGACCATCTTTGCAATCCCATGGATATCCCAGTTGTTTGCCCAGACTCCCAGAAGAGTGGGTAACTGCCTGAGGGGGGCTGCAGTCCCAAGCCACTCATCTCTCTGGAGCAGACCAGCAATTTTATCATTTTACTCACTAGTTCCTCACCCCAGGGAGGGTGCAGGATTTCTCCTACACACAACTTCCTCAGTAAAGCCTCTGTAGTCCTTTGTCCCTCACACTGTTGATATCCACTCAGCTTGGCTCCTTCTGAGCACCATGGGATTATTTTGGGAGGGGAAACACAGAGCCTGATGGTGCTACAAGCAGCATCAATCTGAGGAAACCTTTGCAACTTCCTCCCCATTTTCCAGCCAAGTCTGGTTTAAAAATCTGTTGTCTGCAAAGGGGGTGTCACCAGGACTCAACAGCCAGGGCTGATGCTGTGTGATATCCCACGGCTTATCTTTTTGTTCCCTGGCAGTGAGCGGTCCTTTGCATGGTGAGGTAGGAGAGCTGCCCTTCCATCAGGAGGAGTTTGAGAAGGTGAAGCGAGGGATCGTCGAGCAATGCTGCCACAACACGTGCTCCCTCTACCAACTGGAAAACTACTGCAACTAGCAACGAGGCCAGCGGTGGGGAGCTCATGGGTAGAAACACGCACTTACGCTACTGCACCTTCAAAGTAATTGAATAAATGTTGCGGCTCTGTTCAAAGGACTGTGCCAGTTCATGCATCCACCTCCTGGGGAGAAGGCACTGATGTTTACTTTAGGGTGTCCTCATCTGTTCTCAGGGAAGGCAGTTTTAAAAGGTCCTGGAGACACCTCTCACTTCACACCATCCTTCTGCCATCCAAATGAACCCCCTGGGAGTGAGGGAGAGATTAAACAACTCTGGAGCAGTTATGCAAAGCACCCAGTACGTCTGGTGCCCAGGGGAGAAGGAGGAGAAGCCAGAGAGGTTTGAATAAGTTTTTCTTTCTAGGGAAATGTTACAGGGGAATATCTGTGGCAATACCATGCTGATCAGCTTCCTGCAATTCACAGCCCAAATATAGCGAGGCAGCTGGGAGGCCAAATTTCCTCAGCTGCGTAATGGAAACAGTTCAGATTAAGCAAAGAATTAAGTCACCTATTAATTGTACCCAGAAAAAACGTGTATGACCGCAATGACCAATTTAGAAAGTGTGCCCAGTTCCCCCTTCTGCGCGTGGGAGGCCCAAGCATAGTCCCTGCTGTGGGAGCTACTTGTCGTTCACAAGTAATTGACAAGTCACGTGCAGAAAGCGGACCTCATCCAAAAGGAGTTTTGAGTGTATTGGCCAAGAGCTGGGCATTTCCTGGGGCATCATCCCTTCTCCTGTTGCAGTAAAACTCTTTCAAGTATCTGGCCCCAAAATCGCTGCTTTCTGGGAGGAAAAGCTGCCACAGCAGTATCAGCTGGGGTGACAGAGAGTGTGACGAAGGGTCATGTCCCCTCTGACGAGGGACTCCTGTGCCAGCGTATCAGAGGCCATACAAGAGGTCCCGTGGGATGGGTGCAGCCTGGCAGAGGTGACAGCAGTAGCTGGAGCTGTATTTTGCTGGTGGCAGATTTTGAAAGCTGGTGTGAGAGGAGGCTGTGGTTTTGACAGCCTCTTTTCCCAAAACAGATTCAACTGCCTCCATTGGAGCCACACAGAAGGAAGTTGCCATCTCATCCCTGCCAGGATGCGTTGCTCCTGCTCCTATCATGAACACAAAACTAGCAAAACCAGTGCAAACTGAAAGGCTGGAGGAGCTGCAGAGAAGGCACAGACATAAAATAGGAAATCAGAAAGCACCAGCATGTTCCCTGCCATGACCTTCCATATGGGCTCCCTTGATGCATCCAAGACCCATGCCAGGGGCCCCCTCCTGCAGCTGCCACACCAGTACCCGTGCTGTTCTCCCCAGTCACCCTTCTACTCCACTCCATCATCCCTTCCTCTGGGCCCTGCTGAATATTCCCAGCAGCAGATCTTGCAATTGTGACAGGCAGCCTTGGGCCAAAAATCTTGTGATTATAAAAGCACGGCAAGACATTTGATGTTTCTGAACTACTTGTCTGCCACCAGACTTCACAGCATATAGATCCGGTGATTTCAAAGGTGGATGCCTAGAAACTATTTTCCTACCTGTCCTGGTTAGACTGATGTTACTGCAGTAAAAATAGCAGAGCTGTTACTCATGGTAAAGCCACCATCATATTCAGACACACAACAGAGTTTCAACAATCCCATAAAGATGTTAACAGTAGGCTGGAAGACGGTGTTGCACATCCAGGATGAGAGTTTGACTGTGGTGTAGGGCCAAGACATCCGAGGAAGACAGACACCATCAATCCCGTACATCCACCCCAAGGAGATGCCACCCTGATTCCAAAGGCAGAGCTTGGGGTGCGCTTGCATGGTCTGGAGGGAAAGCACATCCAAGGGAAGTGCTCCCCTCTACAGCTGAAAGCCCAAGACTTGTTGGAGTCACCTGGACTTGTCCTGCATCACCTAGGACTGAGATCCTGCACTGAGCATCAGGGATCCATTGAAAGCAGAGAGGCTCTTCTGAGACAAGACTGAGCCTTTCTAGTGCAAATCTGAGATTTCTATCTGTACCTACCTGACAAAAAGTCTGCTGATGGGAAGTGCTGGAACTATGAACACTGGAAGAGAAAGACATGATGTAGGAGCTTTGAATGCCTGGCTGCCAGACTGGTACTAACGCTCCTCCAAGTCATGGAAACAGCTGGAAAAAGAAGGATATAGCCAAGTCTGCAGACATACCTCTGATTTCTCTGGGAATGGGGTACATGGGTCATGCCAAAGACAGGCACAGACTGGAGTGGTCTAGAATCCTTGTTTATAATATCAGAGCTGCATCTTGCATTACAGAGGCAGCCTACACATGTTTAGCACCAAAAGGACCAGCAGGCACTTGTAGCAAGGCTGAGCTCCTGGGCATGGGAGTTCCTACGTCTACTCCAGAGCTGTTTATCTGCTTGCACTCCTGCCCCAGCAGTGATGCTCGGGTGAGGACAGCTCTTCAGAGATGCCCAGCTCATTTCCTGCCCTCCGTCATTGTTTGGTTTGCTCATTTGTTTGTTTGCCTTTTCTGAATGCTCTCAATTAGGACTGGTTGGGAAATTGCAAATGCCATGGTTTTTTGCTTGAAAATGTTGAGTCATCAAAATCAGCGCTTCCCGCAAAACCGGACTGGTTTTAGCAAGGCAAGATTCAGAGGGATGAAGGGATGACGGAAGTTCAGGTGCCCGCTCTGCAGGCATCAGGGCAGGGATTTCATCCACGGTGCCCGATTGCCCAAGACCACATGCTAACCACCAGGCTCTGGGCAACCCCCGGGTGGACTCGTCTCCTTCTGCTGCGAAATTCCAGGAGGTTTCAGCAAACACAGAGTGGAATTTGTTTTGAAATCTTAAGATGGGACAGGATCATCCTTTCCTACACAGCTCAAGATGCAGTCCAATACTTTCTCGGCAGGTTTGGATGCTAGGTGAGATGGGGGTCTGGACACATTGGGGGCCCAGCTCCTGCTAATATGGGGCTGGAGCAGAAGAGAGAAGGATTAGGAGCAGAAATAGTCTGTGAAGGACATTACTCGCCATTCCCCTACTTCTGTGCCTTCTGGGAACAGGAGTCAGCAGGTCTCTTGGTGAAGAAGGGAAGAAGAGGGAGTGGTGACCACGTAGGGTCGGGGAGGGAGGGATGGCCCCACATCCACTCTGGGGACCCAGGCAGTGTGAGCTCTCCCCACAGCACATGCAGCTGCCCTTGATCCCTTCCTGCCCAAAGCAAGGGCTGTCCTGGCCATGTACATCCTTCAGTGAGCTACACCGCACTCCAGGAGGCGTGGGAGAAAATGCTGCATCAATTCGAAAGCTGTAGAAAACAAACAAACACACAAACAAATAGTCCTTATGGATACACTTTGCTTTCCAGAACTGAAAATAACATAATGGGCCAGCTCTTCACTTTTCAAAAGCTGCTGCAAGGTGAAGGCCAAAGGAGACAAAAAGGTACTTTTTCTCCTTTTTTCTGGGACTCCAGGGAAGGAAGCCTGAAGGCAACCCTATGCACTTTCCACACCAGAGCAGGCAGCTCCTTGGCTTACAAACCCAATGCTGCTGTTTCACTGACCCTACTCTGTGGCAGGGTGGGCAGCTTTAGCCCCTTACCCCACCCAAACTTGAGGATGGGCAACAGCTCAGAGTATCCTTAACTGTTACCGAGGATGGAATTTCTTTATAAAGCTGCTCTCAAACCTTTGTGCCCTTTCCCAGGCCATGCCCTGCTCTCAGATGTGCTTGGGAGATGCCAGATCTTATGAATTCCTGCAGGAGAACTGACTCAGGGACAGGGAATGCTGCATCCATTGACCTCCCTCCCTGCTCCTCCTCCTGCCGGGCTTTGCATTGTGATCTTTGGGAAGCAAATGCATCCAGCCCCCTTTATTCTGACTCAGCAGTTGCTTTGAAGTGATTTTTGCGGTAGCGGTGGGGCATCATGCCCGGCTAAAATATCTTGGCTCTGCTACTCTCCCAACAAACTTCCAAAGGTCTCATGCTAGCGGTGGAGGGCAATTTGAAGGGAATGCAAATAAAGGCTTCGGTTCATTCATGCTGCTTGAATAGAGAATAGAAAGCTGAGGCGCAGAGGGGATTGCAAGACAAATTCTTTGGGCTACCGTGTTGTTAACACTGCCTGGAAAAGAAAGGACCAAAGTTGTCCATTTCCCACGTGTGTGAACGCTTACCCAAAGGGCTCCAGTCTGGTTTTTAGGAAAGGGGAGCGATGTGCCTGGAAATAGGAATGGAGGAGACCACCAGCTGGCGGGGTCCCCAGTGACTGGGTGACAGACCATGTCCCTCGGGTTGCTGGATGGGTTGTGCTGCTCCAGCTTATCTGGAGAGGAAGGGAAGGCTGACACTTTCCCGGAGCTAATCCGACTGTATTATTTCCTTTTCCGGGAAGCCACAGATAGAAGAGCACTATTACCCTGTGAACTCACAGGTTCACTTTATATAAGAAATAGCCAGACTATAGCCTGGGATTTATTTTTTTTTAACCATCTTATCAGCTTATTAGGAAATTTTAAACCTGCTTCCCATCTCTTTCCTTATCTGCAGCATGATTCCTTAATAACTGACTTGCAGCAACGACTTGAGTTGGAAAGCATGCACTGAGCAAATTCAGTGTTAACACCCCAAATTCCCTCTGATTTAACCGACCTCACCAAAACACCTATTTTGAACAAAAAATAGCCCTTTTTCCTTCTCTTTTCACCCTGGGCAGGAAGAAAGCTTTAGGTCAGGCTATAAATTGATCTGGAAAGTCATTGCCAGCACATTGTCTCTGGGTGAATTACTCCTGTGTGCCACGGGGAGGAAGGAGACCTTTTTTTTTTTCCGAGACCAGTGCCAGGCTGGCGCCCGCATCCTCCCACTTCTGTTGGGCAGAGCAGGCAGGAGCAAATGCGGGACAATAGTGGGAAGTGAAGTAAGCACAAGGAAATTATCCAAGCCTCAATCCTTTCCCTCCATCCTCAGCCGGCTTCAGGAGCAGCAGCGGGAGGTGAATGAACCATTTG